TAAATCATTTTAAAATGATTTATTTTTATTATTTATATCATTTTAAAATGATTTATTTTTAAAGTAAGAATTATTTTAGAATTATTATTTATATATTTTAGAATTATTCGCAAATATTTTCAGTTCAAATAAAAATGCTGAATTTCTACATTTTTTATTTACGAATAACTATACGAAGTTCAAGGATGTCGAATCATCTTTTCGACTTTACACTTTTTGAAATATGATTAGTCTTTTCGTGGAAATATCATTTTTCTATATCTTATTCATTCGATTCGTACATCACGAATGTTTTATTTATCGCTATTTTATCATATTGAATATTATTTTTATGCATATTTATCCACAAAGATGGATAATTAAAAATCCTCTAAATATTAATTTAGATATCTTTTTAGATATATAATGGCAAAAATCTTAATATAAATATAAATATAAGAATTAAAAAAGATATTCAAATATATGCTTTGTTATGCGTTAAATACTAAAGTTAATAACTAAGTAATATATAAAAACGATAACATTTTATTAAGTTTATTTATTTATAATTCGAACTAAGATATGTTGAAATAAAGAGAAAATAGAAAAAATAAATAGATCGATACATGTAGATATTCGCGCGTATTATTCCGAAGCATGGAGCGAGCGAATACGCATAACACACATTCCGCGGCCGGTCGTCGTCGAATCGTAAATGCGTGTACGATTCCACGCGAACCAGAGGCTAGAGACGCGCTCATTCAGATGCGTCTCGCGTGCGTTTCTCCGCCGAAGGACCGGAAACTGGCTCGTCGTGCGTGCAACGTCACGCGTATCCGGTGCCCCGGAGTTCGTTTATCGAGGCCTGACACTTCCACGAAAGGCCACGCGCCGATTCTCTTTCCGCCCGTGCCCTTTTCCTTTAAGAGCTTCTTCATCTTTCGAAATCTCCTACGCCTTTTCCACTCTTCGAGGAATTAGCTTAACATGTTTATCTGCTATGTTTTATGGGCCTGGGTCACGCAAGCGTAAGAAAAAAGAACGTCAAGTTCGCCTTTTCTTTCGTAATATTATATTATCATCAAAAGTTTCGTCTGTATTGCGATAATCATTGAAGAAAAAGATTAAAACATCGATTTATGGACGACGTAACAGTGAGACGAAAAGATGTATCATTATTATAAAACTGTATTTTATAATTTTATAATCTTATTGCTTGCATACTGCTTCAAAAATATTCGTTATATATCATAATGCAATTGTTGATAAAGAATTTCAAATTTCATAAAGAATTTAGAAAAATTTCATTGATTTAAGAAATCTTGTCGTATCATTTTTACGAATTGTTAATATGCGGGTCAAGGTTTCAAGGTTCGTTTTCAATCTCTCTCGTCCTCTGAAATGATGAGCATGTCAAATCGAGGAGATTTAGTTTCCTTCCCAACGGGCCATCTGCGCCGCGAATCATAATATTTGCACGGTGTGCGACGCGATCGATACGCGGAGAAAGAGGGAGAAAGAGAGAAAGAGAGAGAGAAAGAGAGAGATTTAGCTGTGGCATCAGTTATGTTGTTTAAGAGGACTCACATTGTATACAATATACAATAGTGCTCGATTACATTCAAGGAGAATTTAAATGAGCAGGATTGCTTTTCCTCTCAGAAATTGATTGAAGTACAACTCGATAAAGTAGAAAGTAGATATTAAAAGAAATGAGATAGATGTATGATAGTATAGATAGTATGTTGAATGGTGACAATCAAGATAAGAAACTTCAAATTAATTATCACGAGAAAAAAAAGATCACATGCGATAAAAAAAATTTTATTTTGTATAATTTTCATTATATACTTGTCAATGAAAAGATTTTTTTTTATTAAGATTTCTTCGATGCCGAGTTTACATACACTTAGATGAAAAAAGAATAGATATTTTAGTTGAAATTAATTAAACGTTTTGTTAACCTAACTTTGTTTGATGAATTTGATATATTCGTTTCTTATTTATTCATTTCTCAATTTTAGTAGATACGTAATATTTCTAAAAAAACAATTAAGAGTAGTATATCACTTAATCCAAAATTATTTTATCTTTTCCACAGCCATTTACAATTGGCGGAGAGACACGCGATATGGTCTCCCTTTGGAAATTGGAGAAACGGTGCAGATTCTGGAGGAATGCGCAGGTAAAGTGACACGAATCGTTTACAAATGCGTGATTCCGCGTATCGTTTACTAAACTTGTACGAAAGGTTAGAATCGATCGATGGTTTGTAGGCTGGTATAGAGGTTTTTCGATCAAGAATCGCGCAGTCAAGGGAATCTTTCCCAGCACATACGTCCATCTGAAACCATGTAAAATCGAGAATGAGGGCTTGTTTGAGTCGGTGATACCTCTGGAGGATCCGGTAGTACGAGAAGTCACCCTCGTGCTTCGAGAATGGGGCGGAATATGGAAGAGGCTCTATGTGGTGAGTGAGAGCGCCACCTTACTGCTCTCGAGTACAATGTTTCCCCCTCCATCTTTTTTTCGTGACAACGGACAAACAGTTCGTCGTTTCACGATAATAAATCCAGCTGTTATGTTGCGACATACTTTCACGTTATGAAAAATGCACTCTTGAAAGAGAATGAAAACTTCATGCACGAATATCTCGTTCGAAGAACGAATTCTTGACCAAATCGAGCGTTCTATTTTGCGATAATGCGTTCTGAACATAATGGAAATGTTACTAAGCAAACCAGTCGTTCAGACTCGCAAGATTCTTATTTAGTACGAGATCGAGAACAGAGAGAAAATCACGATATATGCATGAGATCACATTTGTAGCATGGTTTTTTCCATATCATGTAAAGGAGACTGGGGCAAGTTGATACATTTTTAATATTTATTTTCAAAAATAGTATTAAAAAATATATGTACAAAGTATCGAGATAATTTATTGATATCAAATTGTCTCTTTTACATTAACGATTCATTAAATGCATGTGCTTTATCTCTATTACTGGCGAAATTTCCTGTTAAACGAGAAATTTGACACATCAAAACTTTTTATTTCAAGATTCGTATTGGTGAGACAATAATAACGCAATGAAGAAATCTTTTTTATTTTGCTTTTTTATTAATTAAAATTTCATTTTTTTTTATTATTTTTAAAACAAAATTTCTAATATAGATTTTGTTTCATATATTGACCAATTTCAATTTTAACCTATAATGAGAATGCAAAACAATGTTATATATTTGATCAAAATTTCATCAATATGTCAATGAAATTTTAATTAACAAATTTTAATAGAATAACAAATATATGCTCTAATGTGATTCTAAATTTCACATATGTTTCTAATTTTTCGTAAATATTTTTAGAATTACTAAAAAAAACATAAATTGAAATTATTTATTGTACACACAATTTAATGAATAAAAATCTTTAAAAAAATCTATATAAATTTAAATAACATTTCAAAACTTTTTAAACTGAAATTCGAATAAAACATTTCAAAAATAATTTGTTTAAATAAATTATTATTATATTACTATCATATTATTCTTATGAGAAATTCATATTTTTCAAATTCTTTCGGATAAAGAAAATTTTGATTTGAAAAAATGAAGATCAATAAAAATCAATTATTGGAATTATCAAAAATATTTCGATAATTATTTTTTTTTTTATATATTGAAACTTTTTTCCAAATTTGCACGAAATTGATGAACATATTTTTCCGCTAATTATAAATATTTTTGCTAAAATTGAATCAGGAAAGGGAGACCTACAAATTCAACACATTGCGCAAAGTAATGCGGGAATTGCTGGAATGGCGGCGTCAACTTTTGGCCGGTACTCTTACCACCGATCAAACACGGGAGCTCAAGTTGCGAATAATCAACAAAGTGGACTGGGGAAATCGGTAAGTTTGAATTGAAAGTTCGAAATTGCGAATGATAAATGAGCATTGGTAATAGTATACATATCCAAGTGAGTCGGTGCACAATCGAAAGTGAAATACCGCATTTATCTCACCAATTTCAACTGTATACTTAATGGAATTTATTGAACAATTACGAACTTCCTCTTATCATTACTTGCTTCGAGTTTAACTCGCTGAGAAATGTCACTAGTAGAAATTACCATGGCACGGTCTCGGTTGGTAATACTGTTCGACCGCTTTTATGAAACAAGTAACAAGAAACGCTGATACATATTGTATCGTATAGAAAGAGTATATCTTTATTCTACAATTTGTTTGTTATATTTCTCTATTTGCTCCCGTTACATCTAACGTTGCAAGATGTTGGCAGTCTTAGCACTGACTTCGGCGGCAATCGTTACAAATGAGCATTTATATAAACATGACTTAATATTGATGAGTTTCTAACGCTAAAATATTTAATATACTATAGAAAAAGGCACATCTGTCTTGTTTAACTTAAATATCTAATATAATCTATCACTTGAAACGCGACTAAGAGTAGCAATGTAACATACTTCACCAACTATGATAAACTTATATATATATATATATATATATAGTCATAAAGTTATTATCATTGCATATACTTATCGGCAGCATTATATTATTCTCGTGAACAAATCGAGAAATAGATAGCGAGTGAAAATAAATGTGAGCATTGAACAACGATCCGTTGCAAATATATGTCAGCGTTATTATGCTTCGTTTCGGGGAACTATGTACTCATTCTTTTAACATAGAATTATTTAATATGGAATATTCAACGAACGCCAACATTGAAGCTGAAAGTTCCTTTAACGAAGCATTCGTAACATTGATAATGAAAATATATCAAATATTTCTAAGAATCATTCATCGACATATAATTTCTAATTTGTCAGATTTAAATTTTTTATACAATTTCATTTGTAAGTAGAAGCGTATAACATAAAAATTAAACATAAACTCGATGGTATATCCCATCAAAATTGAATAAATTCAAATATTCAAATTATATACTTATTTTTAAGTCGATTCTATATATATTGTATATGTATTTACATATATACCCTTAACTTTTTTATAGAAAATCATTGATAAACATTGCTTTGAATAATTTGGGAATGCCCCTATATGTAAATTTAACAAAATTTGATATATAACCTTTTAAAATATAAAATTATTCACGCTAACTTTGTTACGGTAATTGCACCAGTCATACGCAGATACAAAAGAAAGATATCTAAACGTTGAAGAACAAATGCTTGTTCTTATCTACTGCATTCATATAGGTTACATAGAACAGAATATATTTTTGAAATAAAGACTGCATAAATTCTATGCATTGAATATCTTTATAATTAAATATAAAAATATGTAAAAAATATAATGCTCTTTTGACCATTTGAATCTTTGAAGATCTTCGTATTTATTTTTATTATTTCTAGAAAAACTTATACAGTCTCTTTTCTATGCTTATTTCAAAATAATAATTTGTTCAATACCACGATCTTTCCGTTCTTGTTTTTCGTACAAACAATACGAATCGAAAGTAGCCCTAATATAACTTGTCGGTATTATTAACGAATAATATTGCAGTATCTCTATCAGCGATCAAAAGACAAATGAAACATCAAACGCAACTTAACACACTTCCTAAAAGGCACTTATTTCATCACGATACACACAACAAATTAATGTAAAAGGAATGTGCACGTGTAACGCAAATAGGAATCCAGGAACACGATCGATGCAAACATTTACGCGTAACGATTGATTTTCGTTGGAAAAAAGAATTGACCGCGTTCGCGCGCCGTTTGAAATTCCATAGCGATCATTCACGGGTGTTATTGTTGCACGCCTCGACGACGCAATCTGTTACTATAGCGAATACGAACGTTACGCAATATTAGAGATAATCGACGAACACTTGTGCGTGTGAAATTCGGCTTCCTATAATTTAACAGAATTGAACGATTATACACGTGTCGAGCCGAAAGCATCGCGTATCGTTTACATTACATATTCGTTTGATAATCTAACATTGGTTTGTGCTATAGATAGTATAAAACACGGTCACAATGACAGATTTATAATACGTGTTATGGCAAATTAATTTAATTACTATATATCTTCCGGACGGCAAGTTTTATCTGTACGTTGATACATTTGTTGGAAAATAAATGGCGGCAAGATCTCGTTTCTGCCGTGTGCCCGTGTGATTAAACATATCATGTACTCTTTTTTTTTTTTTTTTTTTTTTTACAACTGTCAATAGCACAAACGTTTCAGAAAAAAAAACCGAAGATGTCAGAAAAGACATCTTCGGCATTATCACAATGCAAAATAAAAGGCAGAAATAAGATCATAGGATGTAAGAAATTAAATCTCGGTATCTTTCGCGTATTTCTCGATCTCGGGATAGATGGGTGACATCTCGAGGGTGCTGGGCGCTGATGGCACTGATGTTGGTGATGCTCCACTTGTCGATCCGAGATTCAACTGACGACATAGCTCGTCTAACACTTCGTTGAACATCATTATATTCATGTTCTGTCCTAATAGATGAAGCAACAGGAAGTCGCCGACCTGAAAATTTACATTGATATAATGAATACGTTTTTGTCACGAAACATGTCACGGATTATGATTACTCTCGAAATCGGTTATTACAATCGAGAAATAGTTTTGCAATTTTTGTTATCTCATCTTTTTCTAACTCTTTCAAACTTGACAAGATAAATGAAAATTTAATTTTGTTCGAAAATAACTTTTTATAATAATCATTACACTATGCATTTAATTTAAAATCTCGTTGGTCCTAATGTATCCTCCTTTTGTAATTTTGATAAATGGCTGAACAACCTAATTACCTGTGTTTCTCTAATGAGAGCACTAACACCAGCAGGTGTGCCAAATTTGAATCGTTTTCTTAGAATGGTTTCTCGTGTACTGGGCAATAACACCACCGCCATGCTATAAAGCAGAGCGATACCTGATAATACCGCTAAAATGATGAACCAGAACCAAAGGAAGATGTAGATCTTTTCATTGAGAATGTTCAGGGCAAGTACGCAGAGAGCATCGAACTTTTGAATGGTTCCAGAAGCACCGAATTTATGGAACGTACACTTGGTGACTCGCGGGAACACTTCTACCATAGGATCGCTGCGTTGCTCTTGATTCATATTGCTGAACTTGAGTACATCCGTACCGTAGGATAGAAATGCACCACCGAGAAATGTGTCGATGAAAAATATATTTCCAACCTGGAATAATTAAATTTAAACATGATTTTGAAACAATCATCTCTTGTTTCTTTTTACAACCAAGTAATATGACACAAAATTTTTTATTAACCTTTTGATGAGAATAAATAAATAAAAATCTTATCTTCTGAAATTTAAATGTTCAGCCCACATTGTTAAAGTCCCTAATTTTTTCGTTCTCGTAAAAAAAAGAGGAAGAACCTTTTATCCTCGATACGGTACACTTACCACGTTAACAAAGTTGAGGGCCTCGCAGAAGAAGTATCCAGCCGCGTAAGTATTGTGCAGGTGCAACGTGTCGGAGATGTATTTAGCTAACCGTTGGGACTTTGCCTGTCGCTCGGGCTTGTTATCGAGCAGAGCTCCCCTCATGCCCTCGGATATCATTCTGACCTTGCCCTCTTCCCACTGCTTCCATATCCAATGGGGCATGTAGAATAGAATACCTTGGAAGAAGAGCATGAAGGGCACCCACTGATAGTAGGAGTGATACCTCTTTTCCCCAATGTCACCGCCGAGCCCAGGGTGAGCCACATGAGTGCCCACCGGTTTTGCATTGTTGTGTGGTAATGTGAACGTGTACGTGATCCAACAGTATGTGTTTATCACATTCTCCGGCACCCCTCCATCACTCAGGCAGTTTATCGGATCACCTGCAAGTGTATTATTCGTTATTCTTGATATTTTGACTTTTTTTTAAAAGCTTCGCATTATGATAAAAAGTTAAAAAAATTTCCGCTTTGTTAATTTTTTGAGCATAAACAGTTGCGCAATAATATCTTTTAAATATAAAAATCTTTGGCTAGAAAAATTCTTTTCATATCATCTAACATTCATTAATATAATATTATTATTTAGTATTATTGGAAATAGAAATGTAAGAATTATACATTACATATCGAGATTTTGCCCAATCACAAGTTTTTCCGACTAATCCCAAAGTTCAAATTCAAGCTGAATTTCAAGCAAGATTATTTCTGATGTCAGATAAAAAATCTTTAAATAAATAAAATAAAATTTTCAACAATGTCAATGTTGAATAGAAAGATTATAATAAAGAATCAACACAGTGACATAAATTCTCAAATTGCGAATGACCTCGTTAGATTAACGGCCACGTGTTATCCATTTGATTATAAGTGCAATTGCGCGTAAAATTATGCAACCAGAGATTCCCTTCCCTTGTCTATTAACGAGAGAACATTGAACGGTGAATACAGGATGGAAAAGGAACCGCGACACATGTGCAAATCGTTAATGGTGCATCGTGCGCGGCCCCTGATAGGTTGCTAGTTAAATGACCAGATAATGCGCTGTGATTGTCAGGAATTTAGTTTGGAAATCTCGTCATACGGATGACGAACAGCTGTAACCCGTGCTGTATCTACCGATAAATAAGCACGTGTGTCCTCGAAATGGAACACCGTAGTGCACGACTTTCAATCACAACCGTCTGCGCACCCTACACGATGCGTATCGTGACGCCTGCGCACTGCGTTTATGCAACCGCCAGTTGATCTCTGACCCGTTGTCATTTCTCCCATATGAGAAATAAGAGGATCAAGTTTCTTCCTTAATTCACTTACGAGTGATTATAAGAAATAAGAATAAACAATCGTAGAAGAAAATTTAAGTGATTTACCTTGAATCTTTAAAACATTCGTCTTTATTAATATCCCTGCATTTATATATGTTACGAATTTTGATTCTGAGCCTCCTTCAGATCAGTCAAGTTATTCAAATTCAAGAAAACTGTTTTACCAATATGAACCTGTTATTTATTTGATTTGAAATATGCTTTTAAGTTTAAACGCTCATTCTCAGTCATCAATTAACTTGACTTTAAATAGCTTATATATTTCCTAAAACTTAAAATTACATTATAAATGTGAATCTGTTATTTGACTTGATTAGAAATATCCTTTTGAATAAAATTAATATTCTTTCAATTTTCTTTGATTTAAAATAATATATTTAGAGTAGTAGATTTATATGATTTTGAGAAAGCTGACAAATATATGATATTGAAATATTAATTAATCTAAATTAAAAATGAAAAATTTTGAAAAATGAGTTATAAAAATGATTGAATAATACATTATTATAAACATTCCAACAAATATTATCATCTTCAATGCTATTTCTGATAACTATTATTTTAAGTTAAGTTTGATTTTAAACAAAATTTAAATTTATTAACGACTAATTTGAATGAGGCTTTAGTTCATTTATTCAAATTTACTTTTGTACTATGAGATTCAATAATATTTTTTCATACGTCTGGTGAATTATATATTTAATTATTACTTATTTATTACCATATTCAAGGAATTTCTTGAGTTCTTTTTATTTAAAAAAATAAAAATATAAAAATGTTATTTTTCACTCATGAATTAAGGAAAAAAAGTTTTTCATATATATATATATATAAATAAAATATTATACAAATTTTCCTATAAAAATAATCTTTTAAAAGAAAAAGATTAATATTACTTAAATTGATTTTTTAGATCTAATTTTTTATTTATAGATTCTTTGATTTTATGATTCATATAATTTTTAAAAAAAATAAATTATTGATTAATAAATTTTTGATTCTATGATCTTTCAGGATTCTGATTAAAGAATAACAGAATTTTAAAATCTGATTTTTAAAATCAGAATTTTCAAGTTAGATGAATTTCTTTATAAAGATAATATAATAATAAAAATTTTTTTGATTGACGTATATGTAAGAGTAAGCATTCTGTAAAATAGCAGAAATATTTTTTTGAATTTTCTTGCAATTAGTCGTGAAAAAAAAAGAACAAACTGATCGCGGCTGCTTACCTATTAGATTATTAGCACAAACGAGAATACAACAGGCAAACAGGATCGCGGAGGTAATCCTGTAGTGCGCCCTGAACACCATGTTATCGATGACTGCCTTGTCCACTAAGTACCGTACCTTGACGAACCCGGCCACAGCCGAGACCAATCCGAATACCGCCATTGTCGATTACCGTATTCCTGGAAACAATCAAAAGACATACTCGTCATTCACGATTGCCGGTGATGTCGTTGTTCAAAGAGGTTATGGACACGGCGATATTGCGCGCGCATAATATATTTTTTACCCATATGTCGATATCGATAATCGTAAAGATCGAAGTTACGTTAATCTGATTAAAGACTTCATCTCGAAGAATGCGATAATTTCGCGTCCATATTTATACATATCAATATCGATATAACGAAAATCAAAGTTATATTAATCTAATTAAAGATCATTTATCTCGACGACAATGATTATGTACATATATTATCGATATTGATAATCGTAAAAATTAAATTTACGTTAATTTGGTTAAGAATCTTTTATCTCGATAAAAAAATCTCGAACTCAAAAAGATCTGAATGTTCGAGACAAATTAATTGCAACAGTATAGTAATCGAAATTGAATCGCGATTTATCATCGATATGACCATCAGCATTCGAGCATTTACATTCTTGTTGTGTAAATCAGTTACATGTTGGTGAGTCAATACTCTTAGAAACGAATGAACAGAAAACATCAACGTCTTTGGGCTCGCGTGATACTTAATAATGCACCGTGTGTATCTTGACTTTTTAATCGGTTAGAGTGTCGACGCCCTCGACGTGATATCCATGCAATTAACCTTAATAATAGACTTAACAAATTTCATCGTATGGAAAATTACGAGAAATGCCATAACTTAATAATCGTTACCTGTTATATATCTATATATGTATATCTTGTGCGGTTTCGAGATTAAGAATAGCTTTTATCGAAGTATTACCATTGAATAGTGCAAGGAAAGAAAAAATGATATGATATAAATTCTATAGTATATTTTTAAATTAAAAGTGAATTGTATGAGTTTTGAAAATTATAAATCAATAATTCTAGTAATAGAAAGAGCAATGAAAGATTTAATAATAATTGAATAATTTGTGCAATATATTGTATAAAAATTTTAAAATTATAAAAATATTATATGTACGATTATTGCAAGTTATCTCAGAAATTAATGAAAATATTTTTATGTTTGAAATCATTTTTTTTTATTTTTAGTGTTATTAATTTGAATTTTATTTTTGATATTTTATTTATTTCGATAAATTTTTCATAAAAAGATTTTTTAATATAAAATCTTAAATTTATTTATTTATTTTTTTTTAATTTTTAAATTTTGCAGAATACTTTAATAATTCCAAACTTTTGACTGGTACAAAATATGTTAAATGATATTAGAATTTTAATTTAGCAGTATAGATTTATAAAAAGATTGAGAATTGTTATTACAAATGAAGGAACAAAAAAAAAAGAAGATAAAAGAAAGAGAAAAAAGATGAAACGCGGATGATATTGATCGAATATAAGGATTGGAAAGCGACAATATCAACCAAGTTTCGTCCTGTTTCGTCAATCAAAGAACTCGTTCGCAGAGTAGAAAGGTTGTCACAACCGGAAACGGCAGATGTACGCGAAGGATCGATATACATAAAGAATCGTCACAGCACGCTCTCCAGACTGTGGATTGTTCTCTGGCGGAAAACAAAAGCTCGCTCGAGACTAAGAACGACCATGGCTATCGACTAGTTGGATTTTTCGTTTGGCATTGTCGTCACCTCGAGTAGATTCTCCCTTTTTACCAGTGAGACGAAAAACGCGCGAAAAACGTGTTATTTAATGCGCGTCAAACTGTGGGCTTTGAGCACTACGCCGAGTATGTAACGGCGACTCGATTCGACGAGAAACGACCGCCATTTCTATCGCGGTCGTTCGAAGCCATTGCCCTTTCAAACTCAATGCGACATTTCCAACGAACAATCGTTTTTTCTTTTTTTCGAACAACGAAAGTTGTGAAAGAAATTCGATATGCTGAATTTTAATTTTCTTTTTTTCTTTGAACGATGCGTTTTAATAAATTTAAAAAAATTTCTCGTTACTTGAATAACGAGATTCGTCTATATCTTGTGTAATTTACGAGGGCAATTAGTTAAAGTTTAAAATAAGACTATTTTTAAAAACGTTCCCAAAGATCATCGTGTCCGTTGCACTGAAATAGCTCGTGGAGTCGACGTAGGATGTTTATTAGTTAATTAATTGATAGCAGACGAGACACGTGCCGTTGCAAAGGGTCAATTCGCAAGCGTACAGAATTGCCACAGTACCATAGATATGTACAGTGAATTACTTTTTCTCTGACTATCAAATTTTATGATTGTCTTTATATATATATATATATATATATATATATACACGAACATTTTTTAACACAAAAAATTATTACATTAAAACAAATCGTAAAGTTGAACCATTAGTACAAGATAAATGTGGTTAACGATAAAGTTACGAGCTTATTAGAGTTATATTTCGAAATTTCTTTCTAATGTTTCCATACGTTTGAAAGCGTTTGTAAATGATCGCATAAGCGCACGCGCACGTCAGCAAGGGATCGTATGTAATTTCAAACGATCTTATCTGCGGTACGATCGTTTCAACGTGACGGATGACTTAAAATTATATCTATAATTTTTACAGGACTGTCCTTCCATGTCCTTCCATGTCCTTCCATATCCTTCAATATCCTTCAATATCCTTCTATAAGCCTTTCTCGTATTTTTCAATTATTCCTTCTATTCTTATGTTTTTTATTTTTTTACATATACATACTTTATCTATTTTTCATCTAACAGTCCGTTCAAAGTTTTTCTACTTTTTTCAATAATTCTAATCACGTGTTCTACACGTATGTAAATCGCACACATTCAAGCCGAGTTTGACCGCGCAGAATCGTATTTTCGCGACAACGGTTTTACAATTCCTTCTTCACGCTTCTTCGAAACCTTCTCTCGGTTAACGAACATACAAGTCAAACCAGTTGCTCGGCTGTTTCTCGTGAAACGGGAGAAGGGGAAGCTTGCCGAGAGTGGACATGCTGACGACACGAGAAAAACGCAACGCTTTCTACCGCCAACGTCTCCAATAATCGCAACGGATTCATCAGATGTATCAATAAATTTCTTATTCCTTAATACTTTGTTTATTTTAATATTTTTTTATTTTTATCGATGATTCGAGAAATAAAAATTTCTTTGCTATCGATTATTAATTTGAAATTTATAGTTTAAAATGGATTTCAAATCATCAATAATATGGCATTAAATAATTAGTCATCTATTCGAATACTAACCATTGTTCAAAAAAAAATATCTATATGATATATAAACTTATTGACATAAAATTTCTTGAAGGTAATTTTCTAGAAACTACAAAAACAACTGTGATTTGTAATATTCTAACGACATAAATATTTCATGGTAAATGATTATTAAGGTTACTATAATGTTATTATAGAAATTATTTTCCTTTAAATTCTTCTGTGTGTAAAATGTAATACGAAATAATCAATTCATTTAATTTACTCGAATATTCATTCGTACTAGCATTCATCTTAATATCTTTCTCTTGACTTACTTTTCTCTCTTTCAATCGTTTCATGTTAATACGTAACACGTGGCACTATGCACTTACATATTACAATCTCCATGTGCATTCTCAGAATCGTTCTTCAGCCACAATCGATATTCTATCACACACATCTGTTTCATTCGATACACACACACACACACACACACACATTCAGCTAGTGATTTTCATTCCTACATCAAAATCTGTTTTTGAAAGTTGAAAGAATTACTCTATAAATTTCGATTCGCAATAGAAATATTGTGATAATGTATTCTGAAAGAAAATGATCATATATTTGTGTAACACATAGAATAATACTTTTTTAATCATCTATAAATATTAAAAAAATTTTCTAATTATTTCTATTTTTTTAATGTTTAAAAAATTCTTAAATTTTAAATAAATTCCAAATTTTTTTTTAATATCATCGAATTCTTCGTGAAATATCTTTCTGTGTAACATATTTCTTATGAATTGGCGGCTTTTGTCTAAGTGATAATCGACAAGCGTTATGTTTGAAACTAAAAGAATGGATCGGAATCCGAAGTAACCACAAGACGTTGATTTTTCAGCGCGACTTTTGTAACCGCAACGAGTAGTTTCGTGTACACTGCATATGAATCGTTGTTATCGGATTACGGGTCGAGGAAACAGGTTTGGGATCCATGCATGGTCCACTCCTTATTCGGTGAAATATCACTAAAGCCGGTTAATCTTGTTCAATTTCGATTATATACTCAATCATATACGTTCAGAGATTCATATTTATTGTATTATTTTAAGAAAATATTAAAGATTTTAAAAATATATGGTAAATTAAAATATCTATTATATCTGAAAAATTTAAAGTTTCATAATTTTATTTCAAATCAATCTTGTTAGGATAAATAAATTAAAATGTTTTTTTGATCTTTAAAAAATTTATATGGATTCTCTAAAAGATAAACCTTAAAGATGTGTAAAATTTAAAAAAAAATTCAATACATTTTGAAAAATAAAAGAGTGAAAATAGTATAAATATTTTCAAACTATTATTCGCTTTTTTCTAATACAAATTGAACACACGCGACGAAATAACGATTCTTCGGCTCTCGTATCGAGAGTATCGTCTATATCGAGTATTCCTAATTTGCGCAGAATTTATGCGCGATACCAAACACGAGAATCGATAATTGCCGTGAAACGTGATTTATACGATCGTATGGTGAGCTTAATGAAGGGTAATGCCGAGCACGAATTGAAAAGTTACCACCGTCGAAGTTCATAAATACACTATCTATCTTAATGATAGAGAAAAACGATCTCGAAAATTTCTCCAATTAAATAGAATTGCTTCTCGGTATTGTTTCGCTAAACGTCGGTTTCCTATTTCGCATATTCTTACACGATGACGTACACACGGATGATGCAAAAGCAACTTCACGGAAAGGAACCAACACCCATACCTTGCAAATTCTTTTCCTTATACTATAGCATTTTAGTCTATTTGTAAATGCGCGAAAAAAAGTGATCAAACGTGTCAACATATAC